TTGGACCTTGAGATTTCAGTCCGGTGCTCCAATGTAGGTCTCTGTCTCTCTCCTTTCATCGCCTGATGAAGGTTAATATTCAGGAGGATGCCTATATGTTTTGGGTTCACCTTCTTATTTAGCTTCTCTAGGATCACGAATTATAGGCTCAATGTCCTTTATTTAAGGCTAGAAACCAAATATGAGGGAGTACATCCCATGTTCCTCTTTTTGGGTCTGGCTTACCTCACTCAGGATAGTGTTTTCTATTTACGTCTGTTTGTATGCAAAATTCAAGAAGTCATTGTTTTTTCTGCTGAGTAGTACTCTAATATGTATATATTCCATACTTTCTTCATCCATTCTTCCATTGAAGGGCATCTCGGTTGTTTCCAGGTTCTGGCTATTACAAACAATGCTGCTATGAACATAGCTGAACATATACTGGTTACTAATTTTTTTTATCCGTGGAAGCTTGCTTTGTTACCAAGTATGTGGTCAATTTTCGAGAAGGTTCCATGGGATGCTGAGAAGAAGATATATTCTTTCCTATTTGAGTGGAATGTTCTATAGATGTCTGTTAAGTCCATTTGATTCATTACCTCCATTAATTCTCTTATTTCTCTGTTAGGTTTCTGTCTGATTGACCTGTCCATTGGTAAGAGAGGAGTGTTGACGTCTCCTACTACTAGTGTGTGGGGTTTGATGTCTGCCTTGATTTCTAGTAATGTTTCTTTTACATAAGTGAGTGCTTTTATATTAGGGGCATAGATATTCAGGATTAAGACTTCGTCCTGATGGATTGTTCCTGTTATGAGTATAAAGTGTCCATCTCCATCCCTTCTGATTGATTTTAGTTTGAAGTCAATTTTGTTAGATATTAGGATAGCCAAACCCACTTGTTTCTTAGGTCCGTTTGATTGAATAATTTTTTCCCAACCCTTTACTCTGGGTAGATGTCTGTCTTTGTGGTTGAGGTGTGTTTCTTGTAAACAGGAGAATGTTGGGTCCTGTTTTTGTATCCAATCTCTTAGCCTATGCCTTTTTATAGGTAAATTGAGTCCATAGATATTAAGTGATATTAATTACTTAAGGGTTGTGTGGAGCCAAGAAGCTCCCTCAGCAGGAGCTGGAGATTCCGTGAACTCCTCTCCGGCTGGGCAGGTGCACAATCACCCCTTTGGGTGGGCAGCCTCAGTGCAGGAACAGGAACTGTTCCTGGGCCAAGGACCTCACAGACACTAGGGCAGGCTTGGGGCTGGAGGAAGGGATGTGTGGAACAAAGAAGACCCTGCAGCAAGAGCTGGAAGGGCCAGTGCTCCTTTCTCTGTTTGTTCTGCTCAGCCCTGGATGGCACCCACTCACCGGTCTGAAAGGTTGTCCTCCTCACTCAAGTTTTATTAGAGGTGCTGTTTTAACATGTATCTTTTACTGTCATTTTATAACCCATTACTAGACTTTTCAATCTACTTGATATTGACCATGTATCTTTCCTACTTATCTTATCTGGTAGTTTCTCCATTTGATTTCTGTTTGTTTTGTCATGGTTTGGATTTTCTAATTATTAAATGTGTCAAGAAATGTACAAAGTTATGATCTTTCTTTATATTAACAAAAAAGAGTGGAACTGAAACAAAAGCAGGACAAATTGCCTTTTAGCAATTTACAATTGCCTTTTAGCAATTTACAATTGCCTTTATTCGCTATAGAAACTACACACATATAAAATTAAATTATGTGCTACTTTTGCCATGGCTTATCTATTCAGAATGGAGTTTACATCTGACAACTTCCAATTAAAGCAGCTTGGCATTCAAGTGAAAAGTTGGCAGAGAAGCCAAAAAAGAGGAACAACAAAAAATATACAGACACTATTAAAAATTCAGTCAACCTGTATTCCCAGCATCCTTTGCACAGTTACTTTCCTTCATTCTCATTTCATTAGCAATTTAGTGTTTAGCATGTTGGTTACAGTAGCTAAGTGTTAATTGGCTATTTGGCATGTTATGCTGAGATGAACCTGATTAAATAAAGAGGAAGCTCCATCCTTTGAGCACATGACTGGGGCACTGATGTTGATGCCTCGGGTTCAGTACATAATGAGACTTGTAGCTTCAGGCAATGGTAGGCTGCTTGCTCTGTCTCTGGCAAGGCACTGAATTAAGTATTAGCTCTGTAGTGGACCCCTGCTTATCAGCAACCATGCTATTACTCTACTGACCCTGATGTGCATAAGCAATATTTTCATCCTCTTCCCAAGAGATTTATGTAGCTGTTGAAGTAGAAAATGAATATTTTACAGTTCACTTGTCTGATCAATTACCTACAAGCTGCTGCAGTATTTTATAGCTAGCAGGAGAGCTGTGTACGTGATGATCGAGAAATCTGGGGGAAATCTCCGAGCCAACTACACAAAAGAGAGTAACTCTGCGAATGAGCCATCAGTAACAGTTCTTTGTTCATATGAGTCTAGCAAGAAATTACAGTGTAATCAATTAGTGTACTTAAATGCTACTCACTAGAATTTGAATTCTAAATGTGAAGAAATTTGACAGTGTGGTTGAAAAACAATGAAGCACAGAGTGGTTCAAAGACAACCTTTGTCAATGCAACACCTGCCTTAGCCCTGGCAGTTTTAGATTCAATAATTGGATGAAAATCTTTCTCCAGTGACACTTTGGAATTAAAATGATAAAGTGACTTAGGAAAATGTGCTTATTGTAGGCAGGAGTTTGTTACTATTCTTACAAATGGAATATATTTCCTCATCAACTTTTCTGGAAAACATTTTTAAAGGAACATACTGATCTAAATCCTTATAGCTTAATAATGTTTTTATGATGTTGATTGAAAACTTTAAATGACCTACTAAAAGAATAAATACCCCAAAAATGACAAACATAACTAGAGTTAACAACCACTGATCATTAATATCACTTAATACCAATGGTCTCAATTCACCTATAAAAAGGCACAGGTTAAGAGAACGGATGCAAAAACAGGATCGAACAATCTGCTGCTTACAAGAAACACACCTCAAACTCAAAGACAGACACTACCTCAGAGTAAAGGGTTTGGAAAAGGTTTTTCAATCAAATGGACCTTAGAAACAAACAGGTGTGGCTATACTAATATCTAACAAAAATGACTTCGAACTAAAATTAACCAGAAGAGATGGAGAAGGACACTTTATACTCATAACAGAAACAATTCATCCGGAGGAAGTCTCAATCCTGAATATCTATGCCCCTAATATAAAAGCACCCACATGTGTAAAAGAACTCAAGAACAATAGCAATGGGTTATGATCCTACTGCATGTACTGGCTTTGTGATAGTCTAGGCTGTTTGGATGTTCATCTTCCTAGACCTGGATGGAGGTGGGAGGTCTTTGGACTTCCCACAGGGCAGGGAACCCTGATTGCTCTTCGGGCTAATGAGACAGGGGGAGTTTACTGGGTGGGGAGGTATGTGAGGCGGTGGCCGGGAAGAGACAGAATTCTTTAATAAATAAATAAATAAAAAGAAAGAAAAAGAACACCCTCCAGATGAGCTAACACCAGTAACCCACCATGACCCAGCAATGACATGACTAGTGCTACCCTTCTCAAGCCAATAAGCTGTGGGACTTGTTGGAACAAATAGAAGGCAACCTAACAAGCATCCTAGTGGGCCCTTAATTTGTATAATCACATTGAAACTCTCTAAGTGTTATATTTAAATAAATAAGTAAAAAAAAAGCCAAGGCAGTTTCTTTATTTGACCAATGAAAGTAACACATAGACAGAAAGACTTCCTACTCCATTTGTCCATAACCAGGCTGGCTAGAAGGAATTCACCTATGTCTGCCTCCTGAGTGATGATGGGATTAAAGGCATTCACCATCTTGCACAACTGTACCCTGTCCTTTTAACATCAAGAGAAATGTCTTAGAACTTTCCTTCAAAATTTCCTGAGCACAAGGCTCCTCCTGAGAATGCCCCTCCTCTGGATTCACACTACTTACATTAGTCCAGGTCTTCCAAGGACAAATCTGAAACCCTGTCTAGACCCATGCTACAGAAGAAATTAGAAGTCCTGAACAGCACAGTGACTGGTGTGATGTTCCCTGAACACTACCTGTGCGGAACATACCAGGAAAGTTCTTATTTGGTTCTTTGACCTTGCTTGCTGTAGCTCTAGACAAGAAATTACAGTTCTTCCAGTGATCTTCAGGGGATGTTAGAAGGGCATAATCTCAATTATCTGAGAATTTGTTTCCCTGAGCAGACTGACTTCCATCTCTGTCCCTGCTAACCTTGAACTCCCTCTCTAGACCATTTTCTGAATTACTGTATCCTTCCTTTGTCTGAGAACACCTTTCTGTATGGGTACCATGAATGTCTCCTCCCTCCTGTCCTCTCTCATAGAGGAAGACTTGATTACAACCAAGGGGTCATCTAGGAAAGAGCAAAGGTGACCCATGAAAATCAGAGAGGACATGTGCAAACCCAACACATAATGGAAAAATGTTGTCCTGAAACATAGAATGAAGGATCCCATAGTCCTTTCAAAGACACACAGGTCACCTCATCCCCAACTTTGAGCACATGAAACTCTTCACACAATGGTTCCTGGGCCTCTCTTCTAGATCATTAATTTGACTGGTGACATTAGTGATAAAGGATTGATCTTCATCCCTAGTCATCACTCAGCCTGCCTCTTTCCAGCCCTTAGAGACGTTTCTGTCAACTACTTGCAAGAATTAAGTAAATACCATCTTCCCAGAGCATTGAGAACACAGGGTAGGCTGGGTGCTCAGCTTGGTCTCTGTATCATATGGACACATAGACAAGATGGAGGCTCCCTCTTTGGTGCTGACAGACCCAAGGCAAGGACACAGCAGGTGTCAGCCCTAGGATGAGTCATTGTTTTCTGAGGGCGTGGGGATGCTTATCAGCCTTGTTGCTCAATATGTTGCTTGGAGAAGAAGCATAAAGGGAAGTTGAGTGAGATGCAGGGCAACACTGAGAGTGGACGGGATTGAGATTGATTTGGACTCGAACCCCACCACTCACAGCCCATTGGATCCTGTCACAGTGCTCCTGTCTGAGAAGAATCTCAGAGCAGAAGGAGGAAGAACAGCACAGCCTGAGTTCTGTGCTGGAGCTGAGATTCTTCTCCTCGGAGGGAGAACGAGTGAGAAGACTGATGGAGTTCTCTGTGCTTCTCTGCAAGAGGTGTACCCTCTGGGAGCGGCTTCTGCTCACAGGTAATGGTACCTACTCTCTGACTCTGTTGGAAGGGGAACTAGGAAGCAGGCTGGAGTCTCCTAAAGAGAACAAGTTGAGAGGAGACTCAAGGTTTCTATGAGCACTCGCGGAGCAGAAGGTACAGTGAGGGACAGAGGCTCAGCAGCCTGAATGAAGCTCTCAGAAGATAGGAGGGGATGATGGTAAGACAAAAGCCTCAAGCACTTCGTATTCACAGTGAATTTCATTGGCTGTAATGTTCTGAAGACAGATGTTCCCAATTGCGACAGTATGGCCCTGCAAAAAGAAATCAAGCAGGGGAGGCTAGTGAAATGTTTCAGTGTGTGAAGATATGGTAACCTGAAACTAATCCTCTGTTCCCACACAGTAGACAGCGAGAACAGATTCCTGCAGGCTCTACTTTTCCATCCAAATAGGAGCTCTGGTGAGAACTCACCTATATACACCCTGGAACATGTGGCCTCACACAGATTTGTGGCATACATCTTCAGATGTACACAAGAAGACAGCAGCCTGCACAAATGCACACATATATTTAAATTAGTAAATCTAAAATCACTTATTTCACATTGAAATATAAGTACTGTCAAAAGTTCATAATATAGAAACTATATTGAGAAATCCATGGAGGCATATTCCTCTTTCCTTCCTTCCATTTTTCCTTTATTTGTGTCTGAATCTCTTCAAGTCACTGAACCTTCCAAAAATTCAGAATAATATTGTCTTTATAAGTCCCTGGTTCTGAACTGGCAGTTCTGCTTCAGCCCTTAATCCCAGCACTCGTGGGGCAGAAGCAAGTGATCTCTGTGAGTTCAAAGCCAGCAAGGTCTACATAGCAAGATCCAGGAAAGTCAAAGCTACAAAGATAAACTGTGTTTCAAAAAACCAAAAATAAAAAATAAAAAAAGTCCTAGTTCTCAAACCTGATATCAGCACATGCAATGAGAAACCCTGGGTTGACTAGAATCACAAAGAGATCAGAGAAAAAATCAGAAACTGTGGAGTCTCGAGAGGAGGAGTTCAGAGAGGCATTGCTCCTCACACCAAATAATCTACGTGAGGTGGGGTGATGGAAACTGAGGGGAAACTAGGAATACACTTAAGCGGAAAATTCTTGAGAAAGTAAATGACACACTCTGGCACTCTAAATCAAGGAAAGTCATGGTGCTAATGTAAACCAAGGGGGGGGGGTTGGGCACAGTCCTACTTACACACCAAAATGAGAGATGATCATACCTCTTTAATATTGGTGCTTTTTCTCAATTCCCTTCTAGCCTCCATTTTAACCTCCTGGTACCTGTCTTCCACTGCCAGTGTGACCATTGAATTACTGCCAACTCCAGTGGCCGAAGGAGATGACGTCCTTTTCCTTGTCCACAATCTGCCAGAGGATAGTATAGACATTACCTGGTTCAAAGGGTTGGGAAAAGAGAAACAACAAATTGCACTATATGTACTACACAAAAATTTAAGTATGCCAGGTCCTATACACAGTGGGAGAGAGATAATATATTACAATGGATCCCTACTTCTTGAAAAGGTCACCCAGAAGGATGCAGGATTCTATTCCCTACGAACGTATACTAGAGGAAGAAAATTTATATCAACAGTACCCATGTACCTCCACGTGCACGGTAAGTGATTCATTGAGAATTCTGGGAGCCAGGTGAGGTTCACTTCACTGGACACATACAAGAGAGTGGTCTCTGCTTACCTTCCTTCCCTGTGCATTGTATCCCCATGGTGAGGTTTGAACACTTAATGTGGGACACAAATGGTGGAGAATAATGACAAGAGATCAGGATCCTTCATTTGACCTCACTTTGACACAGGTGGATGTATGGTAGGTAACTCAGCCAAAGATACAGCCTCTGTCTAGAGTGTAGAGATTCTCACAGGTTTGTTTCTTTGAGAAAGACTTTGAGGGAATTAGCATTGTACCTGGTGGAGGAAAACATAGAATCCTCAGAGATGTGAGCACCAGGACGCCCTGGTTCAAGACTTCTGTCCCAACTCAACTCCAGGTGTCCATGAGGAGCATTTTCTAAGTGTAGGATTTTGGCTTTTAGATGGCAGGGAAAGTGCTCCGTGGTAGTCGATGTCTTGTGAAGTGGGGGATTAGAGAGTGCATTGTCCTGAGGGCCTTGGCTGGGTTTCATCCCTTGGCCATCTTCTTCAGAGAGTCAGTAGGGAAACATAGCTCAACAGGTGTCCAGGCCATTAGCTAACTGTCCTGTTGGGCATGTGAGATTTCACATGAAAGTTGTGGTCCCCAAGGAGAGGGACTCAGGACACAGATTCTTCTTACAAGG